GGATGTTGGCGTCATGACCGACCTAAATGAAATATTAGTGTTTTGCCCAATGTTAAGGCCGAGCTAATTCTGCTCAGTCAAAACGAAATGTTGGTGTTGTCTAACAAATAGTAGCCGAGCTGACTTTGCTCGGCCAAGCGCTATGTTGGTGCCTTGTCCAACTTACAAGAGGCCGAGCTGACTTCGCTCGGAGAAAGGAAATGTTGGCGCTCTATCCAACTCCATGTCGGAATATTGGTGTTTTGTCCAATTTAATGGACGGGCTGGTTTTGCTCGGCCGAAGCGAAATAACTAAAATTTGTCCAACTTCCTTTGGGGCCAAGCTGATTTTTGCCCGCTCAAATAAAAGACTTAAAGTGTTGTCATAGCCAGAGCGGCAGTGGTAATTTTTGCTCGGCCGAATGAAAATTTTTGGGTTCGTTCAAAAAAAAAAAAAAGAGACCGAGCTGAGAGTAGCCGCGAACATTTAAATTGAAGAAATTCTGAGCGGCCAGCCGGCCTATCAGTTGTGGTACATTAAAGTTTGAATCAGGACATTTTGTACATTGCAACCGAACAAAAAGAGAAGATCAACGGGCAAAAAGTTAAAATTTCATTGATTGAGGAAATTGCATTACAATTGTGCGGCCTTAGCCCGGTTACATTAAACAAAGAAAGAAAAGAGACGAAAATAAAGCAGGAAATAGGAGGGGGCATTTCAGTCCAGTTCTAGGTCAACCGTCTGCTCGGCGACCTCCAGAGTCTGCTCGGCAACCTCTGCACTGTGCTCGGGCAAGCCTTCTTTCAACTCATCATCCGCGTTCTCCACCGTGACAACCTCCCGATCAGTTACTTGATCTTCAGCGTCCTGAGATGCTTCAAGGGAAGTTTGCTTGGTTTTTAGCGCGGCGGAGGCTTCTTCCACGGCTTCCTTTTTGGCCTCCTCTATGAGCCTCTTCTGGGCGGCGCTCGCATAGGCCTGCATATAGTGCGGTATGAAGGCCACAGGCGGATGTAGGAACATGTCAGCATCCTGACCAAGGCCAACTTTCTCCATGGCAGCTTTCCAACCGCACTGGAAAAAGATGTCCTTGGTCGCCTACTCCTGCCGTTCATACGTTTTTTAGCTTTGAGCATAGCCCTTGTCTTCGGCGTCGCCAACTGCCTTATCTTTCTCCTCTTTATGGGCATCGCGCAGCTTCCTCAGCTCGGCGAGATACCGGCCTTTGGTCGACTTCACAGCCCGCTGTTTGTCCGCTTCAGCTCTGTCAACCTTTTGGCTCAGGTTATCTCGTTCAGCCTCAACTGCTTCCTGCACGGCCTTAAGCTTCGCTATCTCGGCCTTTTGGGCCTTGTTCTCAGCTATGGCATCCCGCAGGCTCTGCCGCACTGCGATCACTCGGTCGTGCGCTAAATAGTTCTTTTGAGCAGCCTGAAAACAAATGAAAGATTGTAAACGCTCAGAAAACCGAGCAAAAACCGGTCAACAATTTGTAAAAAAAAGCGTGGACCTTACCAAAACGATCGATTTTGCTGCCGAGCGAAGCACCTTCAGGTCGGACAGCTCGTCGTGCTTCTTTATGTCGGCGAGAAGGATCAGCCCCTTGGTCATGTTGAAACCGAAGGAGTAATCCTTGTCCGCGTACACTGAGTCGACCTCAGAGACAGCCCGGCCTTTGTACTTAATCTCGGGCGCCCAGACCGGGGGGGTCGTTGGGGCTCTAGATGGCCCGCTCAATTGTTCGGTCTAGTCACCCAACTCGGTGGATGCGTGCTCGGCTGAATCTTCGTCGACCAGTTGTTGCCCGGTTTGGTCTTTTCTTGGTCGCTTCTTCGACCGGCCTGTTGGATGTTCGCTTGCAAGAGCTAGCACAGCCCCCTCCCTTTGCTCGGCTGGAGTGGAGGAAGTCCCCCCAGGTATCTCTGGTGGCTGGAAGTCGCTCGGTTCTCCGGTGATCATTGATTTGATTGCCTGAATTTTTGCCATTTCTTGTTCGGCGGTGAGGGGAACAAGTTTGATCGCTGGGAGACTTGGATCTGGTTCTTGAGAGGGCGCACGAAGAAAGTCAGTCACCCTGCTCTTGCGCGGTGCTGTGTAGTGGTAGGTCGGTTCGAAGCCGAGGAGTTTTGGAGACTCCCTTTCCTCAGCCGGATGATGAAGTAGAACTCTGATGGCCTCTTGATTAGCTCGGGAGTAGTCGTCGGCCAAGAGCTTGTAATCTGCAAAAAGAGGGACAAGTGTTAGATCGGCAAGAAGAAAATCAGTGCAAAAAGAAAGTAGTGCAGTTTGCCGAGCTACTCACCAGCACTGCCAAAATCTTTCCTAATATACCAGCCCGGTATAGGCGCCTCGGTGTCCTCATAGCAACCGGACACCCACAAGAAGTCATCGTCATTTGTCTCCTTATCTGGGTTACCCTCTATGAATTTTGCTCAGCCCTTCTTAACCTACAGGTACCAGCAAAACCCACCCTTATTTTTGCTAAGGCTGTATTGATGTAATATCTCAGCGAGACCGAGATTGAGACCGAGCCTCCTATTCAGCTCGGCCACACCATTTTATTATCTTGTACGTGTTGTTCGAGACTTGGGTCGGACAAAGCCTTGTCTGCCTCAAAAATTCGCAGATCAAGGGCTGGACCGGGAAGCGAAGCCCTCCTTCCACGATGGATACAACCGTGAAGGGGCACCGATCTAGGTCACCCCATGGGGTATCTCCCTTCTTGGCTAGCTCTAAATGGACATCGTCTGGAATGTTATACTCCCTACGAAACTCAGCTAGTGCACCGGGTGAGCTCACCATGAACTGGTACTTCCCCATCTACCTCGGTTTTACTTATTTGGTGGTTTAATTTGTATCTCGGCGGAAAATTCTGGTGTATTTGCTCAGACTTTGAGCTCCACCAGTGAGGGTTCTGGACTGGCCTGGTCGGTCCTAGTTTATTCTGCATTGTTGAAAAAAAAATAAAAATAAAATAATAAGCCCAAGGGTTAGCACGGCATTAATTGCACGGCTGATATTGGAACTCTTAGCTCGGAGAAAGGTTTTTTGGGAGTTTAGCCGGTCTGACCCCTATCACGGCTCGACTGCACGGCTGATTCAGCCTTCATGGTTTGGTTCTTACTATATTCTTGGCTCGGTCAAGGCCCAAGAGGAAAACTCGAACAAGTTTTGGCTCGGTTCAGTCATATTTACCGATCTAATTAAGTATTCAGCTCGGTCAAGGCCCCGAGAAGAAGCCACAAACCAGTTTTTGCTTGGTTGAAGCTCCACTTACGGATCTAAATGAGCATTTAGCTCGGTTTTACCCAGATTCAAACTGTTCATCACAGAAATGGGGCTCGTTCGTTCGAACTAAGGGCACGAGGGCCCCTTCCATTTCTACAGTTTCCATTTGCCCTAGGGTGTACAGGTTCTATGCATACGAGGGAACGTCGATAGTCCCAAGCAAAGAACATGAAGAACAATAGCACAAAAATGAAGAACAGGTTTGAAGAACTGGAAAATGAAAACTGAAAACACAATGGGGAAGTGGGGAAACTCACCGCAACCTAATGACGAGCGGGGTTCGACTCCACAAGCTTGTAGGCAGCTTCAGAAGTAACAGAAACGATGGGTGAAGCAAGAGGCAGCGACGGCGGTGAAGGAAATGGAGTTTTTAGAGTTAGGGTTTTGGCTCAAGGAGAAGATGAATAGTGAGGGAGAAATGACCCTTCGTGTAAGTGTTTAAGGAAGTGGGAAAAACCAAACGGCTGCGCCGTTTGAATTTCGCGCTTGAAAAGACAGCTTTGGGGCCGCACGGGGCCAATGGGATAAAGCCACGTGCCATCGAAAGTACGACTGTCAGTATGGTTGTACGGCCCTTGACGAGACCGCTGAAGCAGTGACGACCAAATGGGATAGCTCAGTAACGGCTTCCAAACCAATCACGCTCGGCTTGGTACTGGCGTAGTTCAGGGACCGTTAGCTCGGTTATGGTGGTAACCCCAATCACGATTAGCTCGGATGGGATTAAGGGGCAATTGAGAGGAGAGATTTGCACCGGACAGTACGGCCGAGCTACGGTAATGCAAGTGTGGCAAGCCTCTCGCTACCGAGCTATCTCCTCAATCGGCACGGCCCTCCAGCCTGTTTTACACGGTCGAGCTAGGTTTGCCGACCGGGCATGCTCTAAGGCCTGGCCGAGCTGTGGCTATTAGTCTATCGGCGGTAGGCGCGCGTTAGCACGGCGCGACCGAGCAGATGATAGTCCGGAAAGAGTCTAGGCCAGGAAGAGGTCGGCGTGCGCCCGATAGCTCGGCAGCTCATTCGTGTTCTTTGTGGTCGTGATTTGCTCCCACGGAATAAGCCGGTCTTGGTATGCCCGTCGGGTGTGTCACTTAGGCCAATGGCGTGAGGGAGGGGATATCTGCTCCAGGCACGCGTCAGTACCGTTTGGCAGTCTTGCATGTACTGGATGGAGGATTTGGCCTTTACACGTGTAAGGTGGTGGGAGGCGAGCGCAGCCAACTGTCCAAGGAAGGACAGCAGAGGTAGTGCGCGCAGAATCCTGAGGCTGCATGGCCAGCCTAGAAAAAGGAAGGGAGGATGAACGTTGGTGGCAAGAAACTTGCGCTATCTGAAATGCTCTATCTCTCTCAAATAGCCTCCTTCTTCCTCGAGTGATCTGACTTGATCGTCGGAGGGTCTATCTAGCATACCACCGCTGAGCAGCTCATCGTTCTCTGTGTTGTCAGGTTAGACACCGTCACGCGAAGCTTGAACTCCAAGAAGTACGGAAAGTAGAGAATATTTCGCCCTTGTACAAGTACTACAAATTTTTCATATTAGAGAGAAAAAATAATTAAAGATTAAAGTCTAATTTAAAATTGTTCATTCCTTTCCGAATTGATCATTTCGTCTTTGCATTTTTATTCAATTTTTTAATAAACATTATTAATTAAATTAAATTTACACAATATAAAAATTAAATATCAAAATAAATAAAAACGAGAACTACAGAAGCAAAATTGAGACAAAAAAAATAATAATAATAATTACAAGACCAAAATTTTGCTCAGAAAAAAACCAGTTGCTTCCGAAGTCTAATACCACCTGTAAAAGGAGCGACACGCCTCTGGTTTTTCACTCACATCATCTATATATACACATTGCTTATATAGAACACTTCCATAGTTTAATAACCATCATCTACTTTATAGCAAAAAGCTACTTTAAATCTCTGAAAGAAGAGATGAGTTCCACAAGCAGAGCTTGGATAGTGGCGGCGAGTGTTGGAGCAGTGGAGGCACTGAAAGATCAGGGATTCTGTAGGTGGAACTACACCGTAAGGTCGATGCAGCAGCACGGCAAGACCAGCCTGAGGTCCTCCGCCGTTGTTTCGAGAAAAGTGAGGGGAGAGAAGAAGGCAAAGCAGTCGGAGGAGTCTGTGAGGAAAGTCATGTACTTGAGCTGCTGTTGGGGTCCCTATTGATCATCAATCCAAACCTCAGCTCAAAGTATATTTTCTTTTTCAAATTTTGTTTTTTTATTTTATTTTGAGTCTTGTCTGAGTGTTGCATAATCCACTCTGGCCTCGAATGTAAATATATTTATATATATATATATATGTATTTTTTTTTAGATTTGACTCTCTTTTGCTTGTAATCGGACTGGAGCTCAAACGAATTCATTTTTGGATCTTATTTTAATAATTTCAATGGTTCATATTTTAAAATTTATTAGGTATATTATTATTGTTAAAAATTAATTCGATTGGATAACAAAAATCAAATGTTCAAATCAATTTTATATGAATTATTTATTTTTTTCATACAAAATTTATCTAAATATAAGATTATCGTTATTTAATTAATTTAATTTTTTATATAAACGATATAAGAAGCTTATTTTAAAATATAAATAATTTAAATTTATCAAGCAGACTTAAGACCCACCCGCACTTCTCTAATCCAATAGGGAGGGGAGAGAAGTCCTGCTTTTTTTATTCTTTTTTTATTTTTTTTATTTTTGGGTCAATAGATACAAAATAATTATAAATAATTACAAACATGATAATTATCTACGTCATCAAACAACCACCACTAATTTCATAAGGCCAATAATGGGATAAATAAATTACTACAAAAAAAAAAAATATTAAACTCCATTTCATAATTAGTAAAATTGAGAGTTCACGCGTATTATATTAACCATTAAGCATTTGTTTGAGATATGAATTAATTTTTTAACTTTTAATTATTTTAATTTGAAGTTAAAAAATTTCATTTAGAATGAATTTTTAATTTTTTTATTCATTTTTATGAGAGAAAAAATAAAATAATTATAATTTAAATGTGATATTTTTATCTTATTAATTTTTTAATTTATTTTATTTTTTATGACCAAAATAGCCAAAGTAGTTTATGCCAAACATAACCTAAGTCAAATGTCTGGCTGGTCTGAAATGTGAATTTTGAAAGGAATTTCTAAACTTCGTTTGGTTTTAGATTTTTAGTTTAAAAAAAAAATTACTAAATAAGTTAATAAATAAAATGTCACATCCAAATTATAATTATTACCCTTTTTCTCTATAAAAGTCAAAAAAGTCAAAAAAAAAAAATCAAATGAGGCTAAGCCCACGTTTTGTTTTCATTTTGGACTAAAAAAATACAAAAGTTCAAAATAGGCTACATAAATCAATAAGACAAAATGTCACATCCAAATCATAATCGTTATATTTTTTTTCTCACAAAAGTTGAAAAAGTCAAAAAAATCTAAACCAAATGAGATTAAAAAGTAAGCTAAAAAAATCACAATACAAAAAAGTTGGATATATTAGCCAATGCTAAACAAATTTTAAAGTCAAGCTAAAAAAGTCTCAATACACAAAAAGCCAACTAAAAAAATTAGTACAGCTCATTATTTTTATTTATTTATTTATTATTATTATTAATATTATTCTTATTCGGACAACTACTTGTTTTATCAGTTAATAGCAATTAACTTCTTACGTTATTAAACAAATTTGTGGTATTATCTCGTGTTTTCGAAATTAAAGGTAGAACATTATTTTCTGTTGTACCCAAAAAAAAAAAAAAAAAAAGAAAAAAAGAAAAAGAAAAGAAAAAGAAATTAAAGGTAGAACACACAGGAAACTCAAAATAAGACAAAGAAATATTGTCACATCAAACTGTATCAAATTTTTATTTTTCTAAGTTAAATTATGCTAATCTCTATTAAGTTTTTTAAAAAATACAATAAACTTCACAAATTTAACATGATATATTGAGTGTTCTTAATATTTTAATTTACATAATATTTAAATTTTATTTTTATCAAAAAATTATTAATAATTTAAATAGAAAATTGATAGAAAAATGATATTTTATTTTTTTTATATCAAAATGGGTATTTTACCTTATTTATTTTTGTGTCTTTACTATCAATATTAATTTCGATCTTTTTAACTTCATTAAAAAAAAAGAAGTTAGTATAACTATATCAAAATTATATATATTTTCTTCAAAACTTATAGAAACACATAACAATGATTTCATACTTAACACATCATATACATATTCAAATTTAATTCGTGCTTATTGTAGGAATATTTATACGCAGCGGATTAATGGATTAAATCCATACCTGAATATCTCGAATATGAATAATGAACCTGATGAGTGAATTACTTGCCTCCAAATTACCGATTGAAATCCCAGCAATGGAGTGATACTACAATGCGAGCAACACCGATACAACTCATAATACAAATTAGTTTTTCAATGGTGGAGTTTGAAAAGCATTCAAGAATTTTATGCACATAATATTATGTTTTGCTTTACCAATTTCCACTACAATGATCAATATATAGAGAGATAGTAACCACCCATCCTTATCTGAGATAAGATGGGATGGTAAGCTTTAAATTCAAATGAGTCTTACATAGGTCATGGGTTATGTCAGCATGGACGCCTGTGTAAGATTTAATAATACATGTAATCATAATAATAATATGGAATTAAACTTAACAAGATCTTAAATTCAATACAACTCAAGAATAAAACGAACATACCTTTGTCAGCCATTGAATTAGAGAAGTTGAGAAAATACTCCTAATAGTTGAACCTTGAATTCTCGGCTCACCTTCTTCTCTCTATCTTTCTTAATTAGGATGACTATAAAACTTAGAGTGATGGAATACTACTTATCATATGAAAGGGGAGTCACCCATCCTTATATAGAGGAGAGAAGAGGGCCAAATAAACTCTATCAGAAGAATTCCTAATCCATCAAGGTTTCCTTCTTATCTTAGAAGAGTGATTATATTAAAATTCTAATTACTGAACTTTATATATAATATTGGCTTTATCTAATTGTGGAGTCTAAATAAAATAAAACATGTAAAAATATGTAGGCTATTGGGCCACACTAGAAAATAAATCCAACATTCTCCCACTTGGCCCATTAAGCCGATTATGATGCAATTATGAGTTTTTCCAAAAAATATGCAACTTATAAAAAATTTTGACTCATTGGATTCCACACTAAAAACTTTGACACATGATCACAAATTTTAAAAATAGCCAATAAGTTCAGATATATTAGAAACTATAATACTGTGATTACTTCAGATCACCAATGTGAGTCATAGTGGTTATATAACATTTATGTCATATTTCCTTCTATGCACTACACCGTTGATAACCTTCACCAACCCAGTCCTTTATCGGGATATATAATTATTTGCCTGAAAGGCCCCTGTAATTTGTCTTATTAAGACATTTCCTGTTTATCAATATTTAATTTAATGTGTACACACTCTTTTAGAATAGGAAAAACAGAAACAAAATTATTATTGCGCAAATAGTGTCAAATAAAAATAAGTAGCCACGATTAACCATACACATCAAGGGTTGCTTAAAAGACCCATCCTGATAACATGCTCTTTGTATGTCTTTGGTGGCAATCCCTTTGTGAATGGATTAGCAATCATAAGAGAGGTGCTTAAATTTTCAATTAACACTTGTTGTTTCTGGACTCTTTCTCTAACAACTAAGCACTTTACTTCCATGTGTTTGGAATCACTGGAATACTTTCCATTCTTAGAGAAGAAAACTGTTGTGGTATTGTCACAATATATCTTCAGCGGCTTGGCAATTGAGTCAACAACACCAGGTCCTGAGATGAAATTCCGCAACCATAAAGCATGATTTGTAGCCTCAAAGCATATGGAATGTCCTTCATTTGTTTTCTTTCCAAGTCATTCCTTGGACACTGTTTTTCACTTAATTTATCACCCTTCGTGGTGGGTGCATCATCGGCTAAACAAAACTGCTTATTGAATCTCTCCAAAACACAATCAATACATCCTTTTTGAGATAGTCTTAGCAATCCTCGAGATCGATCCCTAAAGATCTCTATGCCAATAACATAGTTTGCCTCACCCATATCAACCATTTTAAAGTTCTTGGAGAGATATTCCTTGGTTTCATGCAATAAGCCAAGGTCATTACTAGCTAACAAAATATCATCTACATATAGCACCAAAATAATGAACTTGCTCCCACTAACCTTCAGATATATGCACTGATCAACTGCATTTTTCTTAAATCTGAAAGAGATAATGGTATCATTAAACCTTAAATACCATTGCTTGGAAGCTTGTTTAAGGCCATACATGGATTTCTTTAATTTGCAAGCTAAATGTCCTCTACCTTTCTTTGCAAATCCTTCTGGCTGCTCCATATAAATTTCTTCATTCAAATTCCCATTTAGAAAAGCAGTTTTCACATCCATTTGATGCAACTCTAAGTCATAATGAGCTACCAATGCTAGGATGATTCTAAGCGAGTCCTTCTTAGATACTAGAGAGAAGGTCTCTGTATAGTCTATGCCTTCTTTTTGAGTAAAACCCTTGTCAGCAAGTCTAGTTTTAAATCGTTCGATATTGCCCTTCATGTCGCGCTTGGTCTTGAAGACCCATCTATACCCGTCTTTTTTGCAGTTATTAGGCAATTTAAACACTATTCTATTCCATGGATTTTAACTCGTCATTTATAGCATTGACCCATTTAGAAGAATAATCACTATTCATGGCTTGTGAGAACGAGACTGGATCTTTGTTAATCCCAATATCAAAATCAGATTCCTGAAGATACACCATGTAATCATCTAGAATGGCAGGCTTTCTTTCCCTCTGAGATTTTCTCAGAACTACCGATTGTGGTGGTTCTACAATATTTTCAATGGCGGTATCTTCATGAAGTGGTGAAACATGAGGTGGTGAAGGATTTTCATTATGTTGTTCGTTTCCCTCAGCCTGTGGAATAGTCTGAGGAACAACAATTTTTCGATAAGGGTCAAATGTTGGCCCATCCACCCGAATTTCCTTGAAACTCACCACTCGTGTTTTCTCACTCCTACTAATTTCACCATTCTCTAGGAATCTAGCATTACCAGTCTCCATTATCCTCGTACTGTGATTAGGACAATAAAATTTGTACCCTTTAGACTTGTCTGGATAACCAATAAAATATCCAGATATTGTTCTTGAGTCCAACTTTTTCTCTTGTAGGTTGAAGATTCTTGCCTCTGTTGGACAACCCCAAATATGTAAGTGTCTCAAACTAGATTTCCTAC